TTTGTTATAGTCATTACATAAAACCTGCCCAGCTCAATACTAACATGCCAAGCAGTTAAAAGTTTATAATAACTGATTTCAGAGCTATCAGTTTATAATAACTGATTACAGATCACACACTTAGGATCTGAAATGAGCCAAAATATTCCTTAATAATAGATAGCCCACCTAATTCAATAATACATATTGATTAAGTCTGTTCCTTTCCATCTTGCCTAGACTGTAGTTCTCATCACCTGGTAGGCGGTGAGGCAATAGCCAATGCTGATTGAACTCTGATCTGTCAGGGGAAGGTGAATGAAGTGACAAAAACCATTTCGACCTCAAGCAGGTCAAAGATGAGTGGAAGTGATGATAAAAAAAAAAAAAAAATTCTAGGATCCCTCAACAGATTTTTTTTTAGTGTACTTTTGAAAGGCAAAAATAAAATAATTTAAAGAAAGTAAATAATTTCGAGGGACTAACAGGATATCTAGAACTGTCAGTGTTGACAACCCACCTGAATCATTCCAGTTTTTTTTTTAATTGACCCTTTTACTTATTGACAAAAAGAACAGGCAATATCTATATCTCTACTACCACACGAGTTTACAATGCTGAGCAAGTAATGTCTCAATTTCCTCCATAGACCATGACTCCTTACTGCTCATCTTGAATGAAAATCCTTTCGCAGAAGTAATGATCCCCCTATTAAATCGTGGTTGAATCATTGGTGCTCAATAGACGGTGCGTTTAGTTAGAGCAATACATTTTCCAGCAGCATGAACACTAACACAGAAGCCCACCATGCCCAGGGCACCAGTCACTTGGCTATTATTCCAGTGAAGGACACTGAAAAACTGTATAAGAGCTAATTTTCCTCGTGATCTATCATCTGTACGCTCTGCGGACAGCTTGTCTGTCAGTACTCAGTTGTTCACAACAAAATGCCTTCTCCCATATTGGACTGTAAGAATTGATAAACACAGAGATGCCGACCCATGGCATTCAGCTAAAATGTAACAGATGCCAATAACTTCCTGTAACCTGGCTACATTTTAGTGAACACCACCACCAAAAGGCTCCCCCTTCTAGTCCTATGTTTTTGTAAGATTTACAGAAATGTTTATACTGCTTTGCCAAGCGTAGTTTTCACCCCACTGAGTCCCCAAACTTTGAAAGAAAAAGTTGTTTCTCCTTTAAGAAAAAAAAAAATAGTTTTAAAATACTTTGGAATTATAATCTTTAATTAAGCTAAATTTTTCTAATTTGAGATAACTCTGACTTTATTGGCACCTTGTTCTTGGAATGTGTAAAATTTTAATTGTGTTAAAGTGGTATTTTAGCTTCTTGACCATTGCATAAAATAGAGGCCTTTTCTGTGGTTGTCTGCCTTATATTACTGTACACTCTGATCCAGGCAGCAGCACTCATTTAACGAAGATAGCTCCCGGTAATAACTGTTAATTGGGAAAAATTACAGAAAATAAACAGCATAATAACTCCCAATACATTAGTGCAGATGTAGTAACTATAAAAAGGATAATCAAATCACCCTCTGAGGTATTCAGTTGCTTTTCATATTTGGAACAGAATTAAAGTAATGAAAAATGAAACTTCACAGTTTTACATAGAGCAGAGTGGCTGGCAAAAATAAATAAATAAAAAGCTTGTCACTGTTTAATTTGAAGTTTTCTAGCTTATTAAAAATTTCTTGGGCAGGGGTTGTGGCTCAGCGGTAAAGCACTCGCCTCTATATGAGAGGCCCTGGGTTCGATCTTCAGCACCACATATAAATAAATAAAATAAAGGTATTGTGTCCATCTACAACTTAAAAAAAAAATTAAATTTCTCCTTTTGAATCCTAAATTCCCTGAAGCACTGTCAGTCCATGGGTAAGGTGGCTTGGGCATTGATTAATTAGCTGCTCACCAACCCCAAGCCTGTGTTCTTTCCATATTTCTGCTCTGCTCCTCTATATTCAGCTTTGTCCTCCTTCTAATTTGAGATAACTTCTGTTGTGAGATGGCTACTGTGATTCTACTCATCCAACCCAGACTTAACAATCCAGAGGAAGGAGAGGAATTGTTCGCTCAGCTTTCCAGCTGAGGTCCTCACATATTGCATTAGCTAATGCCTGTTCCTGCATCAATCACAGACAAAGAGTAGAATTACCATGTATGGTTTTGTGAACTTGATTGTATGGACTTGGACAGAGTACCTAAAACAATCCCTCTTTTACTTAAAAAAAAAATAGTTTGGTGAATGTTTATTTGATAGACATTGAACAGTATCTGCTACTCTCTAGATTAACTGTCCATTATATACATGTTTACCTCCCCATGAAAATACATGCTCACTGAGAATAGCTGCTCATTAAAATCTATGTTTGTATGCACTGGATTCTTACCCATGCCCAGTACATGTTATACCTTTAATAAATATTTTTTTCAATTAATTAATGGATGAATGAATGAGTGAATGAATATAAGATTATAAGAAGTAAATTCACAATCATATGTTACAAAGCTTTTATTTTAGACCTAAGATTTTTTTTTAATATGCTCATATGATAATCTATTATAAATTTTGCAAAAGTAAGATATTTTTTACTCCACTGTTACTGACCAAACCTCAGTATTTCCATACACTAAAGGTTTATTCCTTGTTCTTCACATCCTGTAGCTAGCTATGTTTCTTCCAGTGTTGATGTGACCATAAGCATTTTGGAAATTCAGTTATCAGAAAGCTTGAGTTGAGGATACATTTATTTAGAGTTCTCTGAGATTTGTCCATGTATTTCTCAGTCAGTTCCATGTATAGTAATATTACTCCTGGTGGCTTGGTATAGGAAGGGTTTCCAAAAATACTTCTCTGCCTATGATGCTGAATCACTGCAAGGTGATACAAAGGTGCAGAGTCAGAGATGTTGTGATTGAAAATTCCAGCCCTGAAATGACATTAATAGTGAAGTAGAAACAAGGTTCAAAAGGGAGGGACCCAGAAACTAGGCTGCAAAAAATTCTTTCAATTATCAAATACATAAAATTCTAAGTAGAGGAGTCAGTTCTTATAAAGGACCAGTCAAAGCAGAAGATCTCTCCTGTCAAAAACATCTTTTGATAATGTGGTATGTACCATTCTAATGTAGTCATTTCTTTTCGCTTTTAATGAATATTGTAGGAAACAGTATTCATTAGAATACTGTTTGTAAGACACAAATCAGTGTCAGTACTACAGAAAGTTTGCTTAAAAACAGCTGAAATATTAAAGAAATTTGATAGATTTTCCCAAATGTTAGCAACTGTCATAAAAATTAGGATATCAATCATAAACGTTATGAAAATAAAAGATGTCTTTCTGAACCACTAATAATAAAAACAAATTTTAGCCAACGATGTTAGGGAAAAAATTGAATTCCCTTTGTATTCTCTATAAAACTGTTGTAAATGAACCAGTGAGGAAAGTATATACAATTAAAGCCTAAAATAAGAATAAGAACTAATTTCTATTCAATGCTCTCTGAAGACTTTAAATATATTTACAACAACTTAGTGGAGAAGTTACTGTATCAGCAGAATGGGTTAGATTATACCAGTGCCTATAGTCCACCAAACCTCAGTATTTCCATACACTAAAGGTTTATTCCTTGTTCTTCACATCCTGTAGCTAGCAATTGTCCTATATGTGGTTGTCACATGGAGACAAAGGATACCAACGACACTACCATATGGAGTATGATCACTAGAACAAGGAGGGAGGAAATGAAAAATAGCCTCTTGACTCCTAAAAGCTTTGACTGAAAGTGATACCATCATTTCAATTTCCGTTTTGTTGACCAAAGAAAGTCATGTGGCCATGCCTAACTACTAAGAAGTAGTCAAAACCAATTCCTTAGAGAAGGACAGATGTTTGTCAACACACAATAATGATTACTTACTATAGATACTGTTACCACTAGTAGGCATGTGAAAAGCTGAAGCATGAAGAAAACTTAATAACTAACCAAAGATTACACAAATAATAAAAGCCAAAGATAAGACTAAAATCCAGGCTCCATTCACAAATCTAACCACTAGTCTCTACCTCCTTTGATATAAATTTCTTGGTAAATCCATAAACTATGGAATGACAAATGTATTTACCCTCAGTAATTATACTAAGTTCTTTATGATAAAATAAAAAAGTAGCACAGCAAAGTCCACATATTCTCTAGTTCAGTAAGCAACATTGCCTAAATGCTCATCCATTATATTCATTTAATAATCATTTCTAAAGTACATTCAGAAATATTTATATTCACTTATAATTTCTGATCACATCAGTTTCAAAGAGAAGGGGGCTCCCCTAATATGGATTGGTACTAGAAATTATCCAGAAATATAAGGACCATCTACTGAACATCTAAAAGAAAGAATGACTCACTGAAAATGATGAATAGGCTGGTTTTCCTTCTTTCTTTGTCTCCTTCATCCCACTCAACTTTTTATCTTCTCTTTCACAAAGTTATTGCATTGGTAGATGGCAGGTAAGAATTAGAGAGAGAAACAGGAATAAGATCTATACCCTGTCCCCAAGGAACTCACAAGCATAGCCATAAATGAGATACATAAATGCAATTTAAGATTCCATGAGACACACTGAAAATCTTCTGAAATCCAAACTCTACATATATACCCAATTTTATAGGGCAGGGCTTGACTGTAATTTGCCAAGATATGTTTATTACAGCTCTCAGCCTGTGAATTTATTAACAACCTCTTTAATGCATGAGACCTTTTGGTTTCATTCACTGATATATTTATGGCTGACACACACTATCTTTCCTGGCTTTTGTGCCCACGTTGTTTACTCTGACACATGGTGTTACAGCTTTATGTCTGGATAAGATTTCAAGTGTTTTCGCTGAAATCACTCAGAATTATTGTAAAGAGATGCATTTATAACCATAGGGGAACAATGGATCTTGGAGTCTGTGTTCTTTGGCATCTGTTAGTAAATATCGTACTACCTTCACTGGCTTTAGGGTATACATTGTTTACCTGTGGCATAGCAAAAAAATATCTGCCATATATTGTGGGGAAAACTCTGTGTCTAGCTCGCCTGGTTCTGCGAGTTGTTTACAGCCATCTGGTGGGAAGTCTTACTTGCACTTCACCTGCCATGATTTGTGTGTCAGGCTTTTTGTCTCTTATGGTGCATGAAGAGGACAAATGAAAGTCCTTCCCTCTGCAATAACTTTGCTGCTCATAAAAGTTACTTTTCCAAACTTTAATTACTAGCCTGTTTCCATTATCAGTGTCAGAGGTCCTATTTGGCTTTCTTTTACAGTCACATCTTTTTCAAGTGCTTTATATATTCAGTGTGTCACAGATCCTATAGCACATAAAAAACAATCAGAGAAGATATTTATCCTGGGTTACAGTGACTGACCAGGGTCTATTTTATTTCAATATATGGTCTTCTGTGTTCTCTTTGGAAGTACAGGAAGTTGTATGTTTATTAAAGTATTATCGAACCCTGTGGCTATAATGTTGTATTCCAAAATGATAGCATTTTGTAAGAAGTTCAAACCATAGTACGTTTTGTTTGTTTCACTTTAAGTTGTCAGAGATTGTCATATAATGAAGTATAATAAGCATATTCCCTATTTCAGAATGAGACCCTAAGGAATTGTGAGGATGGATCCTGAATGAACTTATTTTATACTGTATTTTTCTTTCTAGGCATGACATAAGATCATTCCACATTGTTTGTCTTATAGTAAATGCTATATAATTTTGTCAAAAATCATTAACATTTTTAGTATTATGTAAAGCCTGGGAAATATAACAAACATGAAAGGGCTTTTTTTTGTGATAATTCTACATAACAAGCAACCTACCACCACCTCAGAGGCTGACAACAGCAAGCCTTCCTATCTCACTCTCAAGCCTCAGGTCAGCAATGCTTAAAATGTCAGTTATGCTCAGGTGTGTTCTGCATTTCTTGTCCTGTAAACCAGGGTGAAGGTTAGGCCTGTCTGTAGCACACTTGGGCCAGAAGTGCCACAGCAACGGCCCAACGGTGAACCACGTGAAAACACTTGTGGAACTTACCCTCACTCACATTCCATTAGCCAAGCTCAGAGTTGTTGAGGTGAGAAAGTCCACTTCACTTTCAAGGATCAATGTCCAGGGCAGGGAGGGAGAAAAGGTCATGTATATTATTGTGACCAAATAATACAAATATCACTTATGACTGTCTTCCCTATATGGGAAAGAACTCACTCATGTCCTGCACACTTACAAGAGAGGAACAGAGGCTCGTTGTTAGGCTCTGGGATGTTTCAGGAGTGGCTTATTTTGTAACATTATTATAGAAATAGCCCTTTTTTGTTTGCTTTTTTTCCCCAGACTTTCAAAAATACTAAAAATGTTAATGATTTCAACAAAATTATACAACATATGCCATAATGAGTAATATGGGAATTGCTGTGTCTGGTAATTGCCAATGAAAATTAATAATGTATTTCTATGTCCTCCAAGAAAAACTGCCTTCTTTTTTTGTAGTCTATTTCTTCTATGTTTGACATATAATTTTCTACTTCTTTTTGGTTTTCATGATTTCAACTTTTGTTGAAGAATAGTATGTGTTTTTACTATAGTTAATTGGTAGAAAACCATCTGGTAAAACAGAGACATATAGGTACTTTCCGAATTATTTTTTTTTAAAACTATCATGTGGTTCTACCCACTTCTTTTCTAAATGAGATTAGAACCTACCTGTGCTTTGGCCTATGTCTAAATATAAGAAGGAAATAATTATTTCATTAAAAAACTAAAGCCCCTTTTCATCCATAGTATAGCTACACCTCTTATCTTAAATGAAGATCTAAAAATATTTTCCATATATTTAAATTTGTTATTATTTACTAACTCAAAAGTATAGCTCATATCAATATCTTAAGTTATCACTGTATTTTTACCTTTATTTCTGCAAAGTTTCCCTTCCTATGAATCTTGGCATGCCTTATATTTGCTATGATATTTTATAACTTGAAATGGTCAAGGACTTTTAAAATGTTTGAGTTAGTTTTACATACATTAAATTCTCTACAGATAATATATGAAGTAAATGCATTTTGCCAAATAGTACCATCTGCAGATAATGGGAACTTATGAAGTCATATGAAAGTTCACAGAACGATAAGCAAACTTTGATGTTTGTATTAGAGATTGGCCAAATGGTTTCTCTTCATTCAAACATCTGTCATGTTCCACTTATTCAGAAGTCCTAGGGAATGTGATAAAGTCGAAAATTGGTCCTTAGTGTGTAATAGAGTACAGTAGTTTTATTAACTGAAATATTAACAAATATGTTCAATTTCATCAAAATTTATGATGTCCTGAAAAAAATGTTAAGTTTGATTTTGGCCAGATACAAGAAAATTTATTTAATTCCTGAGGATATTCTTAGAGGTGTAACTCACCACCTTTGGGAGGCACAGTTTGTGAGGGGAGTCACTAGGTGTTTCCGTTGTCCCACTGACAACACATGAAGGTGAAGCCTACTTCGTCCCTCCTGGCTGCCCACTTTGTGCAATGGCTGAGCAGCTAGGAACCCAGAACCTAGCTCCAGGAACTGAGAGAGCATTCCTTGTTGTTGTAATTTGTTTGTAACAATTTCATTAAGATATAATTTATATACCAAAAGTTCACCCATTTAAAGTATAATTCAATGATTTTTTTTCACATTTACAGAATTAAACAACTCTCAGCATAATATAACTTTGGAATATTTTCATTATCCCCCCAAGAAACCCATGCCCATTAGCAGTTACTCGCTATTTCTTTTTCAATGCCCTGCAGACCTGGGCAACTATGAATCTACTTTCTATCTCTATGTATTTGCCAATCATGGGCATTTCACTCAAATAGAATCCTACAGAATGTGCCTAGCCTTTCATGAACACATGTTTCAAAGTTTATATTGTAGCCTATATTAATAACTCACTCTTTTATGTCTAATATTTATATAAAGATACTGAATTTTTTATCCATTAATTCATTAGTGGTAGACATTTGAGTTCTTTCTGCTTTTTGTCAATTATAAATAATATGCCATGACCCTTCATTTACAAATTTTCATGTTGCATGTTTCTAGTCCTCCTGTTTGTATACCTAGAATTTAAAATGCTGGCCATGATAGGGTTAAATATAGTAACTTTATGTTTCAAAGTCATTCTGTTTTGGGTATCTCCATCTTTTGAGGAGCTGCCACATTATTTTTTAAAATGCTTGCATCATTTTATAATCCCACCAGTAATGAGTATTCTATTCAATACATCCTTACCAGCCTTTGTTATTATTTTTTTATTATAGCCATTTCTAATAAATGTGAAGTGGCATCTCATTATGACTTGAAGTTTGCTAATTACTAACAATTTTAAGCATCTTTCATTTGCTTATTTTCAATTCATATACATATCTTATTTGGAACAATATCTACAGGACCCTTGGTCCACTTTTTAAATTGAGTTATTTTTCATCTTATGATTTGTTTCTAAGAAATATTTGTGTTTGCTGGATGAAATTCCTTTATCAGATATGTGATTCATGAATATTACCTACCATGCTGTTTTTAATCATTCCATTAGTGGTTTTATGTGAAATGAAGCTTTAATTATTTTTTATTATGATTTTGCCATCATGTCTAAGAAACATTGCCTAGCTTTTATATTTAGATTTGTGAGACGTTTTTATTAAATATTATATATAGTATAAAGTAGGAGTCCAATTTCATTCTTTTGAGTATAGATATTTAGCTGCCCAAAATCTTTATTGAAAAACTATTTTCCCCCATTGAATTTTGTTGGCTTTTTTTGTTGTTGTTGTTATTGTTTTGTTTTAGTAAAAAGAAAAAGAAGGTTTATTGTTTTGCTAGCAAAAGAGAAACAAAAGGGACTTCGTCCTAGAAGCTGTGATTCTGCCCATCATCAGGAACAGGGGGCTTTTAAGGAGGTAAATCAAAGGCTACATTTTATGTGTTCTCTGTTGGAGTTGTAATTCACTTATTAATTTGGGAAATAGTTATTTCTAAGATCTTCTGGCACCCAACCCAAAGTCTGAATTACTTCATTCCTATGATGGGTATGTGCTCAAAGACAGATATTTCTGTCTAGGGTGGGCAAGAAAAGTAATCCTGTTTCCCCTGAGATTAGGGAGTGGGAGATATTAGGGAGGAGCAGGGAGAGTGGAAGAGAAATAAACATGCCCATTTAAAAAAATAAGTTGCAGTTACAGAGCAGCAAGGGCTATATTGAAAGCATAAAGTGGACCACTGTTAAATTTCTCACTGTCAATTTCTACATTTCATTTCTATGAAAAAATGGGAGACACCATCTCCAAGCTGTTTCCTGCTGAAAGAGGGCGAAGTTGGGGGAAGTAACCCAAAGTCCTTGTTGTCTATCAGGTGGGGCATGGACAGTTAAGGGTATTCAGCATGAGCAGTTCAGAGGTCCACAGTGGCAGATGGCAGGTGACTGGACAAGACATACCTAGGGCAGGAATCATGCTGAGACAACAATAAATAAGACAGCAAAGCATTGCTTTTTTGTAAACAGTTGGCACAAAAGAAATTAGTACTTCATCCAGTCCCTGAAAACCAAGAAGATAGTAACTCGTAATCATATAGTGAAAAACAGATTGAGTTTATCAATGTAGGAGGTTAGGGAGATTTCTAGGTCTATGAGATTAGATTAGTTCAAATTAACTCAGGACAAATTTGTGACTCTAGACTCCTTGTGATCATTATTATTATTAGGCATTCCCACATAAGAACTCTTCCTTTATGGTCTTAAGCTTTACATAATTTTTGTAGGACTAAAACAAATATACATCTTAAGTTACGTAAAAAATCTATACTATTGTTTTTCCTTTTAAATGTCCATGTAGGACTGTGCTTAGGCTATACTCTCCTGCCAGGTATTTAAGACCAAATTGGTCAAACTGACCTTGTTCCTATCTACTCTTAAGAGTCAGCTGAGATTCCTGAGATCACCCTTGGAGACATGTGTGAAGCCTCCTGGCTCCTTTAGCTTTTCTCTACCAGTGGTGCTACTTGCCAGGATGGGTCCGGATCTGGCTGACCATATATGGCTTCTCATGGAAGCATCAGGGATATTTCCATCTCCAATGGCCCTGTCTTTGCAGGATGTGAACTGGTTGGCTTCCTATTCTCTAGGGTCCTCTCTCTGATCAGCGAATCAGGTGACTCACCAGAGTTGCAGGGCCCAGAGTAGGGGGATCTTGTTGTTCTCTGCATCCTGGCTGACCTTAGAGGGCAAGGACCAACATTTTGGCTAATTTTTCCTTCTCCCTTCTATTTGCATGACTTAAGTCTCCAAATTTTGGGTTTTAAACACCCAGCAGGGGGCTGGGGATGTTGGTCAAGTGGTAGTGCCTGCCTGGCATGCGTG